GAAAAAGCAGAGACGATGCCTATTTCAACACACATAATGAGGTGTTCGTGCAGGGGAAAGGTGCCCATTTGGGCACTGAGTAAGGTTGTTCTTGAGAGTGGAAAGTTCTAAAATTGAAATGTATTCCAGAACAGTCCATTTCAGCTCATTTTTAATCTGACAAGCAAGCAACCCATCGATATTCTAGCCAGAACTGCAGCTGGCTTTGTGAGTGTTTATCTCAGACAACAAGCATAAGACAAGGACTTCTTAAAAACTGCTTATTTCTAGGAAACAAGTCTTCAGAGACTGTCCTTGTGAGGAACATTCAAGTCTTCTGCTGAATAATCCAAGAGATTCACAAATATGCACATTCCAGTAGTAGAGCTTATGCATGATATTAATAAATGCTTAACAAGAAGATGGGTCTTACTGTGAAGGCTGCTAATTACAGGGTCTATTAATGTACAAAGAAGCGCTCTCTAACCCCAGGATTTCAGCCCAATCCTGACCAGACGTGACCAAAACCGTGACATTTTAGAGCTCTTAACGGGGACGGTTTGCTCTTTCCAGGATGGCACTCAGCTACATAAGGCACTTACAAGAAACCACCACCACCAAGGGAACTTCTCGGAGGTAAACCTGGATCAAAAGTCACACGGGCAGAAGTCTCGGCACACGACACCAGCAGGTGAACGCTTCTTCCAGCCCCGTCCGCAGAACGCTGCTGGGGCTGGTACTGTCAGGGCTCCAGCTGCTCTGGGGATACATGAAGCCTTTCAGTCTCACAGCTGTCAATCTGTCTGACCTTAGTTCACAGGAGGTTTTGTTTTCAATTGTTATTTTTAATTTAGCTGTGAGAGTCCTAATTAAAGATAGCACTAAGTGTCTGCAACACATAGGGTGAGAGACTGGAGAAGAATATTTTCTGCACTAATAATACCTTCATCCTTCAGAAACGCAATAATTCCACTCTGCAAGTGGTGAAATGGCATTTCCCATAGTTGTCCACAACACCTTTAAAAAGGTCCTGGAATAACCTAACAGCACAAAGCAAAGACAGAGACAGATGCCACAGCCATGGCATATTAACCAATTTTCTGAAAACAACTGAGTTTCAAACCCAGCTTTGACAAGGAGAGGCTCACTGCATGATCTTGGCGAGGAACATTTTGTAATGGGGACACTTGACAGACAAGGTACCATTTAAATATAGCACAGCCCTAACGCACTAAGCTCTCCGCAGCGTTAGAATTACCAGTAACCAGAAATGCAGTTTCCCCTTGCTCACCCAACACCAGGTAACAAACATAATTAAACTGGTTTCACTTCAGAACCCTGCGCAGCTAGCCATCCCAAACGCAGCTGTTTATCACTGCTGCTGCAGTCTGCCAGCAAAGCTGCATGTAAATTTTCCTCCCTACAAAATACGTCCGTTGAGGTCTTTGCGAGAGAGAGACATCGCACGGCGCTGCGAGAGGAGCACCATCTTCAGCAGGCTGGGAGCGGTGATGCAGGGCTGACTCACACCTTTTCCTACCACTCAGCAGCCCGAACAGCACGTCCGACCACAGCCTCACCCGGACGTTTGAAAAAGGGCAGATTGCTGCGGGGAGGGAGGCAGACCCCGTTACAGGATCTGAAAGGGGGGACGACTCTGGGATGTGAGAGTGAGAAAGCCTCCTCTCTCACCTAAGACATGCACATCGTCAATAATTTTCTCCGTTAGCGCAGCATCCAAATCCATGGCTTTCGCTCACACTCAAAAGGGTTTCAAACTGCTGAGTGGAACAGCTTAACCCGGAGATACGCAGCACTAAGGGTAAAAGCTAAAACCTGTCTAGTCCAAAATGACTCCAACACCAGCTAATGTACGCCCCACAAGAATGGATCTCATAGAAACTGTGGAGATTAGCAAACACTTGAGGTTTCGGTGCTTTATATTAAAACTGAACCATTTCACAAATATACCTGAATCAACTGATCTGAAGATCGCTGAGTAATCTCACGATTTTTCCTATTTGCAACTTGGTCTGTCTGAAAGGAAAAAGAACAAGGTAGATCCTACAGAAAACAGCCTGTAGAAGAACAAAGACTGTGCTCATATATATTAAAGAAACTCCATAGATTTAACAAAACAAACTGCAACAGCAAAGCAGCACTTCCTGAAATTTAGACCATCTGTATTTTTTTTCTATTCCTTAGTTGACCTCCTGGACAAAATTACAAGAAACAAGGCCAACTTTTTGACAATCTCCATAGACTCCTTTCCCAACACATGCAGTGAAGTCTTCTGAAAACCGTATCTGTGTAAAAGGCCTTTGCTATCGTTAACCTCCACCCCCTGGGTCTCTATCAGCCGCTAACACCTGATGCAGCATGGCCCTCTCAAACAGCATTAGGCTACGAGGAGGTTTGCAAGTGCCTGCCAGAACATTTCTGTCAATGGATTACTGATTCATTCATAACTACCAACTGCTAGAGCAGATAACATTCCGGGCAGACATAACCTTTTCCATGGCTAGAGATTATGCAATGCCATGATTTTTAATCCACTCATCCAGGGGAAGAAATTAGCCAGCTTTCTCATCAGCTGAAGCTTCCTCATTCTGTGTCCTGCTGTTATCTGTTCCAGTTACGATGAACCAGCAGATGAACTAACTGCACATGGACTGGGAGACTTGTAGAATCCACTCAGATTTTCCAGTCCTACTAGAAACTCTGTTGCTGCAGCCATTGCAACACAGTGGCTGGGAACAGTTTCCCCTCTTCCTGCCTCTTCCTTACTCACCTCCTCTGTGGACCTTTCACTCCAGTTTCTCCAATCTACCGAAACACCCTGAGCGAGAACCGCAGTCATTCAAGTTATAAACCAGACGCCACTTAGAGAGAAATAATGCCAGCGATTAATAAACCGAGAAAATCACCGAGGTTGGGACACATGCCGCATCAAGGCCATCAGCAGGACATCCTACAGCATCACGTGGGCTCAAGGCTGATTTCGGGCAGTGTCACCAGCTGTTGCCCCATCAGAGTGAGCCACGGGGCTGGGCTCCAACAGACCCAGCTACACTTCCTACATCCAGAATTATATTTAGGGAAGAAACCCTCCTTTTACTAAACACGGCCTCGCTGTTTTTGCCTGACTCATCTGTTTTTCAAAGCTACATTGCCAAAACTTTACGTACAAGCAGCATCACCAGGCAGCAGCGATCAGTAATTATCACACACCCTTTCTTACTGCCATCACAAGAGCTGCCTGCCGCTGGCCTTGCAGGTTCCCACGCCGCTCCGTTGTGACGAGCGTTAGGCACAAGGGTCAGTTCTGCTGGTTTTATGGCTGCCAAGCTCTACTTCCTTCCGAAAACTCTCTGATTCAACGGATTACACTACTACATCCCAACACACGGGTCAGGGACGTAGCGCTGTTATCCGAGAGCTAGTTGGTAGCTGCATTGATTTCCCAGTTCTTGCAACATATGCTTTCGCCACTGAAAGTAAGATTTACCAATTTTAATCCTTGTTAGCCCACAAACTGCAAAGGCAGATCTGACTCAGAGAGCTGTGCTCTCATTTCTCCATCTTTACTCGATTTTCTTCACCCCTGTTTTTTGCTTCTTTTGGCTATTTCAGTGTTGGATCCCAGGCAGTTTTTTACTCTCACAGTAAATTGCAGACTAGTTCTCCACTCGCTCTGACAGCGAGATACATACGACCTGTTCCAATTCATAGTCCACAACCCATTTCCATGTGGAATAGGAAAACTAACACAATGACTTACCATTCCCACACTCAGGAGCAATCAGTGGATTAACACCATTTTTAATAGCTGCACATTACACATTTGAGGTTGTTTTGAGGGCAAAAGCCAGGGAAAAAAACAACCCCAGTCACTGCTGAGGAAATTCCTGAATGTTGAACTTAACAGTTACAGCCCATGGTCAGTGCTGCTTCTCGGACTAACAGCCACTGATTTGACTTCAGGCCTGTGCTCATGAAACAGCCACCATTCAAAAGTCGTAGCCCTCTCCTTGACAGGCAGAGCCAAAACCCACCCAGGCCAACACTCATTCCCTGCTCAAGTCAGAGAACACATCACAACTGCAAATTAGAACTGGAACAGGAGAGAGGAGAAGAAACAGCCACGAAAGCCGATGAAATGAGACATGGGGAAGGCAAATCCCAGGACTTCAGTTACAGCATCTGTAATTATTTCCCTGCAACAGGCTCCTGAAACACCCCCATGTGAAAGCCCACTGCGCTCTGCCTTTGTGGTTCTGCTACGTTACCACCCAGCCTAGGCCGCTCACCGGGCTGCTGCAAAGGAATCCCAGTCCAGTTCTGCGGGTACGGGCTCACAAGGTCTCGACAAAAAACACCTCCCTGCTCCTTCTAGACCTGAGACTACAGGACATACTCCTCATCTCACCCTCCTGTTATATCCCCCTTCTTGGAAAAGCTGGATATCCTTTGACCCTCCAAACCAGTGGTCCTTGGCGTCTCCTCCCACCATGCACAGACACATCCAGGGCTCCATCGTAGCTGTGAGCTGCCTCCCTGGGGAACGCGTTGGGGCAAAATCAGGATGTTGGGCTCTGCAGCAGAGATCAGCCCACCAGACATTCTCATCTCAGAAAACTGCAGTTTTGGTAGTCAGGCTGCTAATGTGCCTTCCTCCGTGCTGCAGGCTGGACGGAGTCCCTCCTATAGATCCCCCTCACCTTTTCCTTTTCCCTGGGGTAAAGCAGGGCATGCTTTAGCCCTCTCTGTTTACTCTGCAGCACAGGGGTTTGGGTTCAGCTCACCTCAGCTGCCTCAGTTACCAGTCCCAGCTCTTCCATACAAACAGTGGGAAGAAACAGGCACTGGAAGGTGATTTAGCTCCTCAGAATGCAGATGGGATCAGTCTGGGCTATGGGACAGAAATGAAATCTGGGAATTTTTCAGAACTGGGAGGCTGTTCAGTAGACAATTCACATGGTGAGGCTGTCCAAAAGCCAGGGACCCACGGTTATACTAACCTTGGCAAAAAATGGTCCACAAGCTCTAGCCGACTGTCATGTTGGAATCAGACAGGATGTTGGGATCAGAAACCTGAAATCAGAAGAAGGATTTTCATCAGCAATCTGTCCAAGTGCCCCCAAAAACTAGGTATTGCAGTCACCTTGCTTCTACAGGAAATTTTACCAAACTGGTTAATTTCTGAACCCATTATTAGCTCTGGTTATGCTATTTATGAATAAAATAGAAGAGAAAATGGTGGTGGCTCCCCAGCCCTTTACATTTCCTCAAAGTACTTGTGCTTCTTGTCCAGATATGGGTTAAATTAGACAGTAATGAACTGATCCTCTTGCTAAATTTACTTTCTATCAAGCAATTCATTTAATAATCAGGAGATCCTTTAGACAGCTGAAGTGGCCTTTATCAGCAGGCACCAATTCAGCATTTTCCCTGTGAAGAAAGAGCTCATTGTCCACACGCTCCTCTGGGATCTCTAGGCAGAATGCAGCAGTTCTGGATCCATTCCCAAGCTAACGTTTTAGGGAGACCCACTTTGCATTTATCAAAAAGGAATTTACTTTCTAGTAGGGAGAAGAGTTTCTGAGACTGGCTTTGGCAAGAACACATAGCTAGGAGAGGCTGCACAGGTACATGCTAGTTCAGGTAGCTCTGCAACTCTCTGCTCACACGTTATTTGGTCCTGAGTCGGCCTGTCATTGTGCCGTGACTTTCATAACAGGACTGCAACTCCGTGATGCGGTTATTAACACAGCACCACTTCTACCTCCTGCTAGGCCAATATTCCTTTATGATCACAGCTTTTGGCAGAAGGGGGCAGAGGTGGTGTTAATTGCTATACAGCACTGAAGCCTTACAGCAAATTCGTTACAAAGGGTGAAGTATTATTTAACTTTCTCTGCACCCAAATCCTCTACTTATGGGTTTTCAGGCATTTAAAGTGGATTTAACAGCATTACTTTTAAACAATATTATACTCAGCCCCCTTTGACTGGGTGGCTATACTGCGAGTTAAAGACTTGGCTGCCTGTCATGGGGACATGGAGTGAGTTCAAGATGAGGTCGAGTGACAAACACATCCCAGCATGCCCCAAACTTCATGCTGAAAGCATCAACTAATAAAACCAGACATCACTCTTCCTCCTCATGACCTGTAAAGACAGACTGAATTGCCACACAAAAAAATGTTACAATATCCTGAACAGAAAGCTCAAAGTTGGTAGTTATGAAAGCTCTTGGATTCTGGGAAGGCAAGACGGAACATGCTGGGATATGAAGGCACAGCTAAAAGACAGGCATGATGAGATTTATGATCAAATTGGCTAAAGAAAGAAGGTTTCTCAATGCTGATGGTTAAAAATACTTTGAGGAAGGAAACAAAGCAGTGTGTAGCTCAGGCAAAGCTACCTCTGGAGCACAGACCAAGCGAAGTGTAACCCTGACTCATTTTACACTGGACACAGCCAACAAGCTTGGCCACGTTCACATGGATCTTAGATGACAAGTCTCTGTTAGCACAATTACGACCAGTGATGAGGCTTCCGAGTTTTGAGGCTCCGTAATTACCATCTTACCTTCCGCTCAAAGAACTGTCACAAAACCTTGCCAGAAAAAAGCCCAACCCCAACAAAACCCAAAAACCCCAACCACTTTCGCTACCTGTAGGTACGTGCAACCTACATCAAAGAGGTCAAATGTCTTTGCTAAAGCTTGTTTCTCACCACTGGTGAGAAGTATATAAGTAACTGTTTTGGTCCTTTTTGCTACCACTTCTTCCAGGTAGACACCTGCAGCTTGACTGGGCCCGACTGAAGGCCACTCAACTTTATCCAGGGTAATTACAAAGTAGAACGCTCACAAGACCATAAAATTATGTGGTGAATTCCTGCCAGAAAGGTCACTCCTTTTAAGCCCAAATCAAACAGAAAACTCATCCCTTTCTACATTAGCAGCAAAAACAGTACTGAAAAAGATCAAAAAGCATTTCCGACTTGAAACAAACACTAATGCGACTAACCCGACGCACACCTATTTCCATAAAAGCATAACTAACTTCAACCTGTTCTTAATTGCTTTAAGATAAGCTGAAATATGGCTGGACACAGTCTTCACCGTGGATTGGATTTCACTTTGGATTAGTTTGCATAAACTGCTCCATTTCAACCATAAGATCAGATCACAGGCGGCCTTCTAACGTGGCTGCTGTTACAGAAAATCCCGACGCACACCTATTTCCATAAAAGCATAACTAACTTCAACCTGTTCTTAATTGCTTTAAGATAAGCTGAAATATGGCTGGACACAGTCTTCACCGTGGATTGGATTTCACTTTGGATTAGTTTGCATAAACTGCTCCATTTCAACCATAAGATCAGATCACAGACGGCCTTCTAACGTGGATGCTGTTACAGAAAATAAAGACAATTGCTGTACAGGCTGCTTTGAGCATTTTTTTAGTAACATACGTACATAGAAGTTGTAAACAGTATCAGTCTATTTCAGTAAAAGGTGGCTTTTTCTCTAAATCAAATTGCTCCACTGTAATAAAGGTAAATCGAGTCTGAAGAATAATAACGAACAACCCCTTACAAGAAGCTTTGCTTACAGACTAACCCACAGGTTTGCAGCCTAGTAATTCAGTTTTGATGCTTACGTCATTGAAAATACTTCTACGAACACCTGAATGTAGGTGACTGTCAGCAGTGAAGTCTCCCAGCCCGAGCACTGGGGTAAACAAGGACACACCTCAAAAGGGAGAGCTCTGCCCTTCTGTTGATTCCCCAGACACGACTTCCTTCCGATTAACAGCTTGGGATTGCTGCTAATGCCAGCAGGAAGGACTGTGACTTTGTGGTGAGGATAAGGCAGGCACAGGGAACACAGGTGAATCTTCTGCCTTAAAGCTACAAGAGGATTTGTGTTTGCAGCAACCCTGGCAAAGCAATTCAGACACTCTCCTTACAGAAATGTGTTCTCAGCTTCCCAGGGTTATGCTCAAGATTGTTAGGCCTTCCCTGAAAAGCCTAAGGTGACTGAGCAGGCAGTAGAGAAAGCAAGAGCAGGATCAGAGATGGGGAAAGTCACAACACAAAAAGATGCCTACGAGCAGAGGCTGGCTGAGGTCTCACCTACTGCACCCTTCGGGGGAAAACCCCTTAGAAACTCCTGCTTTGCTTTCAACCACAATGGGACCAGAAAGGATGGAAGAAAGGGAAGGCAGACTCAAGCCTAAAAACATGCTTAAGAATAACAACGCACCAGCCTTCAAGCCCAGAACATGCGTAGGAGGGCAGCATGACCAACCAGCACCCTGAGAGCAGGGTGCTTTCTGCTCGGGGGGTGGTGGCCGCAAGCAGCAGTCTCACCGAAGGGCACTGGGCACGCTCCAGGCCCCGAGGCCTCCCACACAACACAGGGGAAAGGGGTAACGTGTCAAAGATGCAGGTGTAACTCAAGGAATAACAGTCCCAGCCCCCTGCAAACACACACCAGAATGTCGGAGAGGCCCAAAGGCCCTCTCTCCAAGTAAACACGGGGCAGGGGGAGGGATCCCCAGTCCCATATATGGCCCTTGCTCAGTGCACACAATGAAGGCCTCAGACGCACCTCCCCACGGGCCCACAGACGAGCAGCTCCCCCCCTCCAGCCCCAAGACCCCTACAGAACAATGGAGTACACTGTGACCCCACAGACCTTCCCTCGGCCCCCCGACATCCTCCTCAACATCCGCAGGGGACAGGGAAGGCCTCTCCCGAGCCCAGCGTGCCCCCCTCCCCCGAGCGCACACTGTACAACGGGCACCCTCAGAGCACAGACAGGGCCGGGAAG